AAAAAAAAAAAAAAAAAAAAAAAAAAGAACTGAGATCCTGCAAGCCATGCGGCGTGGCCAAAAAGAAAAAAAAAAGATTTGCAAAAAGGTAGATCTTGAGCATTTTCTTCTCTCCAGTGACGAAGCCCCTTATAATAATGATGATGATGGTTTCATTTACTTAGCCCCTGTAGAGGCAGATACTATGCAAAGACACTATCTTAGTTTCACATCAGTGCTGCAGTGCAGGGGAGTGGCCAGATCTTTATCCCCATTTACAAATGAGTACACTGAGCAGCAGAAAGGTAAAATAACTTTCCCTTGGACACACAGCTAGAGAGAGGAGAAAAGCTAGAATTCAAATGCAGCCTTTTCTCTTTCCATATGCAACCTTGCCTCCAACTACCAAAAATGTTTTCTGTCATTTCCACAAAATTGAAGACAACAAAGTATATTCCCCAGCCCCCATTCTCTTTACTGGTCCCATTCAATCCATTCAATGAATAACTGAGGTTGTATTAGTTTGCTAGGGCTGTCATAGCAAATTACCATAGACTGGGTGGCTTAAACAACATAAGTTTATTTTCTCACAGTTCTGGAGGCTAGATGTCCAAGATCAAGGTGTTGGCAGGGTTGGTTCCATCTGAAGGCTGTAAGGGAAGGATCTGTTCCAGGCCTATGATGATTAATTTTCTGCGTCAACTTGACTAGGCCCTGGGATGCCCAAATATCTGGTTAGACATTATTTCCGAGTATGTCTGTGAGGATGCTTCTGGAAGAGATCAGCATTTGAATTGGTGGACTGAATAAAGCAGATTGCCCTATCCAGTGTGAATGGGCATCACCTCATCCTTTGAGGGCCTGAATGGAGCAAAAAGCTGGAGGAAGGCTGAATTGATTTTCTCTGTCTGTCTGAGCTGAGCTCTTGGCCTTCTCCTGGCCTTGGACTGGGACTTATACCAGCAGCAGTCCTGGTTATTAGGCCTTCAGACTCAGACTGGAATTTATGCCACCAGCTTTCATGAGTCTCCCACTTGCAGACAGCAGATCGTGCCACTTCTCGGCCTCCATAATCACATGAGCCAGTTCTTTATAAGTTCTATTTGAATTTATAAGGCTGGGCTCCTATTGGTTTTCTGGAGAACACTAATTAAGGCTGGGCTCCTATTGGTTTTCTGGAGAACACTAATTAAGGCTGGGCTCCTATTGGTTTTCTGAAGAACACTAATTAAGGCTGGGCTCCTATTGGTTTTCTGGAGAACACTAATTAAGGCTGGGCTCCTATTGGTTTTCTGGAGAACACTAATTAAGGCTGGGCTCCTATTGGTTTTCTGGAGAACACTAATTAAGGCTGGGCTCCTATTGGTTTTCTGGAGAACACTAATTAAGGCTGGGCTCCTATTGGTTTTCTGGAGAACACTAATTAAGGCTGGGCTCCTATTGGTTTTCTGGAGAACACTAATTAAGGCTGGGCTCCTATTGGTTTTCTGGAGAACACTAATTCAAGCCCTGTCTCCTTGGTCTTTAGATGGCCATCTTCTCCCGTCTTCACATCGTCTCCTTCTGTGCATGTCTGTGTCCAAGTTTCCTCTGCTAAGGACATCAGTCATATTGGATTAGGACCCACCCTAATGACCTTATTTTAACTTAATGACCTCTGTAAAGACCCTATCTCTAAATAGAGTAACGTTCTGAGGTCCTTGGGGTTAGGACTCCAACAAATGAATGTGCGGGGTGAGGGCACATAATTCAGCCCATAACAGGGTTTGTGGAGCTAATCGCGACTCATCTCAATACAGGCTGCATTTAAAAGAGGAACTCAAGAGAACAGATTTCAAATGATGGAACTCTGGATTTCAAGTGGTGGAATTCTAGTTTTCACAGCAGTCCCTAGGGGTGGCAAAGGCCCATCCTATAGTTCTTAATAATGGCACCTCAAAGGTATCACACCCTCTGCCAAAGGGGCCTTAGCAACTGGTGGAATGTGGGTTATTATGAGGACAGGGCATTGTGATGGTGGCCGGGCTGTGGAATCTTGTGAGGCCAAATGTTAATGCCTCAAAAGATGTCCTTTGGCCCCAACCGGCAGTATTGTGGTTTTCTGGGTGGCAACAGAGGATGGGGAGATGATGGAAGGTCGGGGGGCCGGAGAAAGCTGCCCAACCTTCCCCAAGATGGTGCCTGATAACCCCACGTCCGAAGGAAAGTCAAGGGCTTCTTTGGTAAGGAGGATGCCTCTTCTCACTGTCCCAGCCTGTCCCAGCACGGGGGTGAAGAGCATAATGGGGACACCACAAGATAGGAGCTGAGAGCTGTTAGATTCCAGAGAACTGCTAAGAAGAGTAGGAGACGTGCACCCTATCCCCACGCTGGCACCCAGCTGTAACCGGAGACCAGGTAGCCCTTCGTAAGATTGTCAGGTCACTTGAAGCTGGCTTTGGTCTCCCCCATCTAGCTCTCCATGTGGGGCCCTTTCCTCCTCCTGCAGATGGGACCAGGCTTCCCCATAACCCTATCATTGGTTGCCATATATTGAGGTTCTCTCAATGCAGACCTTGGGTTTCTTCCTCCCTCTGTGGCCCCCAGAGGACTGGATGTCTAACTGGCCTCAAAGTAGAGTGGGAGGTGGGAAAGTTACCTCCAGTAGTGATCTGAAGATCACGAGGAAGACAGACTTCTACTCAACCCTCCCAAAGGCCCCACTTGCAACTTTAGGGCGCCATTCTTCTGTGTCCGTCTGCCCTTTCCTCCTTAACTCTCAGGTCCTGATAACTCCATCGAAGTTTCTCGGAAGAACTCGGTCTAGATGTTTACAATTCACACCACTTTCAAGCACCCCAGTGCACTGTGCCGGGGGCTGCAGGAGCGTGGTGGGGTAGGGGGTGGGCGGCCCCATGCTAAGCCCTCCCGACCCCCCACTTCCCCCTTCCCAGGCCCAGGAGGCAGAGTCCCCCAAGCCGGACTCGTCCTACGACTACCTTGAGGAGATGGAAACTGGTGAGGACAGAGGCTGCCCGGGGCCACCTAAGCCATTCTCCTCCGAGGCCGGCCCCGCCACCACCGAGGGCCAGGCGGGCGATGGACCTGACTGCGCAGAGCTGCCCCTGGCCCCAGCCGCAGAGGCGCCGGGGACCCCAGGGCCCCAGCGAAACGACGAGCTGGAGCTGGAGAAGGTGCGCATGGAGTTCGAGCTCAAGCGGCTCAGGTACCTGCACGAGGAGAACGAGCGGCAGCGGCAGCACGAAGAGGTGATGGAGCAGCTGCGGCAGCAGGCGATGCCCCGCCTGGTAGGTGACAGGTCCCAACCGGGAGGTGAAGGGTGCGGGGAAACTAGGGGTGAGGGGAGCCCGTCCCTGACCTGCACGGGGAGCCCACCTTACCTGCTTCTCGTCTGTTCCCCGCCCTACGCCCGCCGGCTCACTGCTTTAGAGCGTCCACGTTAAGCTGAGATCCAACTCTTCAAGGATCAACCCTCCCCAGGAGGGACCCGGAAGCCACCTTGTCCACTTGCCTGTCCATGGCTTTCCTCCTCAGGGAAAACTCTTCAACATTTCCTCTATGTCTGGATTTCCACCACTCTCTACTCCTCTCTGCATCTCTTAAAATAGGACGCCTGGGACTAGACCCAGAACTCCCACTGCAGTCTGGCTAGTGGATTTTGATAGAACCATCCCCTGCTCCCCTGATCAGGGCCGCACGTGTGCTGTTGGATCACGCTGGCTTGCTGTCAACTAAAACTTAGACATCTTTTGGCAAGAAATGGACCACTCTCCCCTAATCTAAATGGGTATAAGAAAGCCTGCTTGTGATTAAATGGGATGGGAAATGCTTAGCACTCTGGCTGGGCCATCATAAGCACTAAATAATGAAAGATGTTATTGTTTAAAGCAATGCTGTCTGGACTTTAAAATCAGGCAGTCCTGGGTTAAAATCCTGGCTCCACCACATATAAATTGTGTGACACTGGGCAAGTTACTGATCCTCTTTGGGCCTTGGTCTGCTCATCTGTAAGGTAACACCTACCTCATAGGGTTGTCGTGAGGATTAAATGAAAGAATGCATGTGAGGCACTTTGCAGTGAGCCTGGCACATTGAGGTAAGCACTCAGTGTTAGCTATTACCATTTTTATGTACTCATGCAATTCACTTCTTGACACAAATGCAACAACTTACGTTCATCATTTCTCAATTTTATCAGGATGTAATGTATTAGCTATGCTTCCCAGCTCTGAGTCATCCTCAGTTCTGAGAAACTTGCCTCCTGGCTTTATCCAAGTCATTGCTATAATTGTTGAGGAGGATATGACCTAAAGTAAATACCACTAAAAGATCTCCCTACAGGTTAGCAATGTTCCATTAATCAGCACCCTTGAGTTACATTATCTCCAGCTCACATTTTTCTACCTTGTCCAGAAAACTGTACTGAGACACACTGTCAAATGATTTCCCAGAATTAAGATATTACACTATAGCATTTCCCCAATTGACTGGTCCATTTTTTTTTTTTAAGAAAATTAGGTTGGTTTTGCATGATTTGTTCTCAGTGAACACATGCTGGCTTCTCAACAATTCTCTTTTGTTTTTCTTGCTCACAAAATACCTGCTTTTTAGTTTGATAATCTTTCTCCTTGCTGGAGGAGATGGAAATCCTTGGTGTACAGTCCTATCTGCTCTCGTCTTCTGCTTTAAAAAAAAAATAGACCGTTGAAAGTGTTTTGAAAAGTCTAAAAGGTTTCACAAATGCACAATTTGTTATCAAAATCACAAATATCAGCCATTAGCACGCAGACCACAAACAGTGGCAGAAAGTCCATGGAACCAGAGCCACACCAGGTCTGCAGAAAAACACAAGATCTGTCCAGCCCTCCAGTCCCACCAGAACACTGGGTTTCTTCCTCTGGTCTTCCATCTTCCTTACTATTCATTTTAGAGGTGGCATCACTGGAGTCATTTCCTGCCCCCTCAGTTTTATTTAGTTACTCTCACATTTTACGTCGCTGGTTCAACAATACTATATCCAGAACCCCAGTCTTTAACAATAGATTACAAAAGTGTTTTACTTCCTGTGCATTTACTTGGAGAGTAGACTTAATTTTTAAGCCTCCCACCTCTCTTTTTCTGGCTGGGTGGGTGGATGGGTAGATAATTGTCATTGTATTGAAAAATATCTCTATGAATATGTTTCTAGTGAATTTAGGGCATCACAGTCCCTGCCATATGCCTGCTTACAAAAAATGTGGCATGAGTTGAAAAGATATTTTAAAGAATGAACCATGGGTAATGTCTTCTTAACAATAGATCAAAATAGCTATATCAGCTTTTACTCTACTTATATGTTGATGCTTTCTATAGTTAAAATGGGGGTCTGTTCAACTTTAATTATATAGATTCTTGAAAAGAGCAACACACAGGCAGAATCAGCCAGACAGCTCAAGCTGCCTGCCCCCACACCTGAAACCCTAAGAGTTTAGGGAGGCCCCACCACCTGTCTCTTACTACCTGTCCGCAGGAGAGACCACACCCTGGGCTGAAGGACCACAGCCTGACCTTATGTGACATGCACTAGGGCCCAGAGAGTCAGACACAGTCATCTGTGCCCAAGGGACCCCCTCTCATTGTGCCACCATCCGGAAAACAAGGTGGAGTATCTGGGGACACTGTCCAGAGAACACGCCCAAGACCTGGTGTCCAGATGTGGGGATCTCGAGTAGGAAAGAGACTGCCCACATGTGGGCTCAGAGGCTGTATGGAGTGTATCAAGAAAGGAAGGGGGCGGCCTGACTCAGGAGGGCTAAGACCAGGCTCAAGAAGTGAAAACTCATGAGTCCCCTCTGCGCCCGTGACCTTGCCTGGAATTTTCATTCTCGTCCTCACTCTTCCTCATCATCATCCCATGAGGTGAGCACGATTACCCTCACCTTAGGTGAGGAAGACAGCCTGCCCGAGGTCACATTCAGGAAGGGGCAAGAGCAGGATCGAAGCCCAGGTCTGCCTGGTACCCAAGCCCTGGCTTTGCCATTTCTACTCTCTTCTTTCCCCCGTAGTTCTCGGGAGGCCTCCAGGACCTCCTGCTGCCCCAGAACCAATTCGCCATGTCCCTGTGCTGCTTAATCTTCACACACATAATCTATGTCACCAAGGAGATGATCTTCTTTCTCTTCTCCAAGCACTACCTGTCCTGCATCGCGGCCATTTTGCTCTGTTTGATTAAAACGTTATGGTCATACTTCGAAGCGCCTTCGCGCTCTCCAACACTGGGCACCTCCTTCCCTCACCTGTGCCTCCCTCCCATCAGAACTTGCTGTTAGGAAAGGTTTGCTGTCAACCATTTACACCTTAGTGTGGAGAAACATGTTGTTCAGGCCTTATACTAAGCCTGAGTTCCCACTGTGGATGAAGATGCTTTATTCCCCAAGAGGACAATTTCAGAAGGTAGCAGGCCAGGGAAGTGTCTGTAGGGAGAAGGGTTTAGAAAGCCTTTCCAGAATCACAGAAATCATACCAGGACCAGGCTGACTTGGGATCCACCACATCTACTCAGGTACATCTTCCCTGAGATGTGGGGAGCTGTGGTAGGCTTCTGAGGGTAGGCCCCCCAAAGACGTCCACATCCGTGTGAATATGTCACCTTACGTGGTAAAAGAGACTTTGAGATTAAATTAAGGGCCTTGAAATGAAGAGATGATCCTGGACTACCCAGATGAGCACAATGTAATCATAAGGGTCCTTATGAGAGGGAGGCAGGAGGGTAAGAGGCAGAGAAGGAGATGTGGCCATGGGAGCAGAGTGGAGAGTGATGCAGGACCACGAGCCAAGGAATGCGGGCAGCCTACGCAAGTTAGAAAAGGCAAGAAAATGGGTTCTTTCCTAGAGCCACCAGAAGGAATGCAGCCCCGCCAAACCCATTTTAAACATGTGACCTCTAGAACTGTAAGAGAATAAATCTGAGTTGTTTTAAGCCACTACATTTGTAATAATTTATTGCAGCAGCAACACTAACACAGGAAACTAATACAGGAGCCAAGGTTCCCCAAGCTCTTTCCAGCTCTGCAGACATGTCAAGATGGCATCACCAAGGCATTGGCAAGGGTCCATCTAGCCCTGGGCCTGAGCAGGACTGTGCACAGTCCCCCATGCATGCTTGGAGCCTGCCCTCAGCAACATGCAATTCAAGAAGAGAGACGCTGAAGCTCCAGGAAACCCAGGACAGGCCTATCAGATATCCTGATCACTGAGCAGCACATGCCTGGGTGCGGCGGGGGCAAAATCTGGGCATACTCCTAGGGGCACTGGTAAGGAGGCATTGATTGATTAGGCGCAGTCAGCAATGCTGCTCCAGTGGAAAAATAGGAGAAAAAAAACCTAAACAGGCCACACGCCCAACCCTCAAATCATACACACACACACACAGAGATACATAGCAAATAGTTGTCTACAATAGAGATATACACAACAACAGGCAGCAACAACCAAAAGGAACAGACGTTGGGCACTAGGGGACTCACAGGAGGCACAGAAGTGGCCCAGTGTAACAAGGGCAAGGAGTTCACCTCCCCCATCCTGTACACATATACGTGAGCACACACACACACACACACACACACACACACACACACACACACACACAGCAGGTTGTCAGCTGCCCCCACCTCGCCAGCCCTGCCCAGGAATGATGGCCAGCACGGGAGACTTTAAGGATAACGCAGCAAACTGAATGGACACAGCTTTGCAATCAATCAAGTCTTTTTTGACCCTTCTTCTTCCTGGACATAAGGCTCTGCTTTAAGAGGAACAAAAGAATACGTTCTGGGGCTTCCCTGGTGGCGCAGTGGTTAAGAGTCCGCCTGCCAATGCAGGGGATACGGGTTCGTGCCCCGGTCCGGGAAGATCCCGCATGCCGCGGAGCGGCTGGGCCCGTGAGCCATGGCCGCTGAGCCTGCGCGTCCGGAGCCTGTGCTCTGCAACGGGAGAGGCCACAACAGTGAGAGGCCCGCGTACAGCAAAAAAAAAAATTGTCCCTAGTATCTATTTTCCCCTGTTCTTAGTAAAAGATTACCTGACTTTTAGCTGAACATGTGAACACAGAAAAAAAAAAAAAAAAAAAAGAATACGTTCTGTGTTGCTGGGCTCTCCGAGTGATGCAGAGTGAAACACATGAAAAGAGAAGACCGCCGCGGGACTCATTGTCAGTACACATTATCATGCCGTTTCAGTCCACGGTGACTTCTCATTTTCCACCCAGTTCAATGCATTCATTCCCATTTATAGCTGCGCGTGACAGGTATTTACTTGGAAGTAATAAAACTGTCATTTCTCATTGAACTTTCAATGGCAGAATTTTTTTGCTATGGGTCACTTCTCACAATCTAATTTGATCTGGGTTTCTGGGGTGGGATTGAGGCAAAAGAAGGAGGAGGTCAGGATATCAAAAAGATTAAGGCCCAGATGTTTAATTCACTAGAACAAACAGAATTGGGAGTTTGTTTATTAAAAAAAAAAAAAAAAAAACTGCTATAATGCCATTCAATTAATCATCCTATTGCCAGGTAAAACTGGACTTAAATATACCCATTTTCCTTACAAATCTTCAGAGAAAGATTAGTAAACTCCTTTCAGTTAAGTTAGCATGTCTTCTCATCCCCTTAGCAACGGCCATGAAATCGCCCCTCTATCCTTACTTCCTACTCTGATAGAAGGCTGAAGCCAGTAGCCGAAGATCTACCCTAAGCAAAAATGAAAACAGCTCACGGTCACTCCCCAAACTTGATACAGACCTCGCTGTTCAAATGCAACGCAGAAAATCAGAAGGAAGGGGGAGAGAAAAGTGGAGAGAGATACAAAGGATAGAAAAAAGGTGCAGCCTAGGGTTACCAAGCAGGTAACAAATCAACATACAAGCCCTTCTGGAGCACCTCCAATGTGCCAGGCACTTGGCTACATGCTTTATGGAGCCTGGGAGACAGACATGTACATTATCCCCATTTCACAGACAAGGATACTGAGGCTCAGAGAGGTTAAGTGATGTACCCAAGATCATCTTAGATCTCAAGTCTGACTCCAAAGTGATCTTTCTGTATTTCCACACTCCCAAAATCCTGCCTTGGAGGATCTCACAGCCTTGCTGAGGAGATGCAGCTAATACACACTGAAGTATAAAGAAACTATCAGGCACATAGACCTCAGTGATGAAGGAGATTGAAGGAGAAGTCCCTGGAGCCCAGGGTGATAGGAAGTCTTCTCAAAAGAGCAGCCCACAAGGGCAGGTCAGCCTGGGACAGGTAGAAAGGAGTAGGGAGAACTCATGTGAATTAAGATCAGGGTGGGCGTGTATAATCTATACTCAAAGAAGGAGCAGGCACATCCTTGCTCCAGTGAATGGTAACAGGCCTGGAAAACTTATTTGGAGCCAAATTTTATAATATTGACCTGAGGAATATGAACTTAGTCCCTTGGGAAACAAGGAATCCCTGAAGATTGTAGAGTGAGATAGTGACCCTCCCCCCAAAAAGAGGGGAAATCCTCCCCCCTCCCCTCTCCTGGGGGCCACGTTCTTGCCTTGACCTTCTCTTCCCATTTCCAATCCAGGGACATTCTTTCTAAGGTCCCAGTGTGAGAACTGCCTTTAGCTGTAAAAGAAACCCGGCCACAGTGGCTTAACCAAATAGGGGTTTACGTGTCTCACATACTAAGAAGTCCCAGGTTGGGCAGTCCGTGATGGTGAAACCTCTCAAGGAAGTCATAGAGAACTCAGTCATAGAGGATCCTTCTTTTTGTTCCACCATCCTTAGCATATGGCTTTTATCCCCCTCACCCCATGGCTTTTAGCCTTATAATCTCAAGATGGCTGCTATAGCTCCAGGTATCAACTCCAGGTCAGCAGAGGGGTAAAGAAATGGGGCCACATCTTTTTTCAAAGCTTTTCCAGAAAGATCCGCCTAGAGACTTCTGCTTACGTCTCATTGGTCAGCCTGGTCATGTTGCTGCTCCTATAGCTTCAGGACATATGAGGTGTGGTAAGTTTTTGGCCTGGACAGTGTTGCAGCCTTGAACAAAATTAAGATTCTGATAATATGGTGGGGGTGGGGAAGGGGAGGGGTGGATACTGAATAAGCAAATAACTGTGTCTACCGTACCTTGCTGCTTTCTTAAGCCCAGCTCCCACTCTCTGCCCCAGTGTCATGGTCCAGGTTGAGACAAATGGGTAGGGCACAGCTGTAGCCAAGCCGGACCTGGCCCACAGCTGCACTTCTGCCTTAAGGCCTGGCTCACATACCACAGCAGGAAGGTCATGGTTTTCTCCGGATGCACAACTGGAACAGCTCTGCCTGCATCCTCCTGACCTCTGCCTGAGGCCCCAGTACCTTACACAACCGTGGCCGCAGCCTTGCCTGGGGACTTAGAAGGCACACCCCTCTGTGCTGGGTGCCCTCCGCAAAGTTGCAGGAGGAGGTGAGTCTGCCCTGAGAGTCCCTCCCCTTCCTGAGTCCCAGATCCCACAGAACAGAGCCCAGTGCCCCCAGTGTCTGTCCTGTCATCCCACTCACACCGTGACGCTGAAGACAGAGTGTAACAGATCCTACACATTACACTCAGCTTCAGCCCAAGCAATTAAGCACTAATAGTGAACTTTCAGGAAGGCTTAGGAGGAGAAAGATAGAAGAATCTTTCCTGCTCCCCAAATGGAATCACATACGTTGCAACCCTGAGCCCAGGGACGGGGCTAGAGTCCTGGAGATGCTGAGATCTGCAGGAGGGAAGGGGGAACAGGCTTGGTTTCCAAGGCCACTTCCCTGCCAGATCTGTTTCTAATCCCACTTTAGGAGGTGATTGCAAGCAAGTTGGTTAAGCTTTCCAGGCTTTATTTGGGTGACCTGAAAATTATCTAGACTCTAACTCAGTTTAAAAAAAAAAAAAAAAAGGGGGGGAATGGGGAGAATGGGACCAAAGAGCCTAGGGTCTGATTTCAGAAATTCCTATCGAACTGATCTGAGATGGTGTCCGGGGAGCACCTGAAGAGTGTCCCAGTTGCTTGTAATGTTCAGCTTCATTACAAAACCTAAATCCTTGCTACTCTGCACGTGATCTGAGGACCAGCAGCCCCAGGCATCTTAGAAATGCAGCATCCCAGGCCCCACCCTGGACCCACTGATCGTTTGAATTTTTGACAATGTCCCCAATGACTCTTGTGCACCTGAAAGTCTGCAAAGCACTGCTCTAGGTGATGTGACTCAATTCAGCCTTTGCTCTGTTGTGAAGACACTGCTCTTGGCCTGGAGGGTCTTCGAGGGTGGGAGGGTACGTGGAGTCA